TAATTGTCTTCACATTTCATTTGGCCTCTCTCCCTAAGCTTTGCTGAATTGATCAGTAGTACCCATGCACTTTAAACTTAGTGATTATCTATGTGCTGTTTGAATAGACACCTAATTAATCATCGAATGCTAAAGTAGAATATTTGATAGCAGGCTGCAAGATCCTAACGTTTACTTTGTAAAACTCCCTGTGGGCAGAGGGTTATATGGGCTGAACCTGGTCTTTATGAGCAAGTGTCGGGCAGTTGCTAAGGCTGGTACTTTTGAGTAGCTGTTCCCGTCTCTGCTTACCTTCACCTGTGCTAGCCCAGGCACACTTGAAGCAGTTTCTGGTGTCTGGGGCTCATCTTGATATTCCACAGCTGTCAGGAAACTCACCTCCTACTCCCTTCCCCATTCATAATCATGCGTTAAATCTAGGCTCAAGGACATATTTAGGTTGGCTTATCAAAGGTTTTATACTTAATGTTTTGGGGACAGCCACTATGCTAAAAGATTCATAAAACTAATATTCTTTGTCTTCAAAATTAATCTGGTTTCTATTGAGAGTTTCTGTTGCAAGTGGCAGTCGGTAACAGATGTGTGCCCGAGAGGTTGTACAGCTTTCCTGTTCCAGGGCAGAACAGTTCCTTATACGAATTTAATGACTGTGTTCTGCGACTCCAGTGTGGAGACATTAATCCACTTATTTACCATATCATACTTTGTTTTGTTCTCCAAGGGAATCTTGACTTCCATTCGCCTTCATTTTTACTTAAATAAGAGTTTCAGTGACATAGCATTGGTTAGCACTGATCCAAATGTGTCTTGTGCTCATGTCATTTGGGCACCATTGTTGGCGGAGCAAGTACTGTCTCGGAAGGCGCACCTAGCTAGATAATGATGGTTTCACCAGGCCTTTATCCTGACCAGGCCTCTGGGCATTGTCTAGATAATTAAAATTAGATCACAAAAAAATGTTACGCACAGCACACCTTAGTATAGTAAGATTTTGCTCCATTTAAATCTGATTTTAAAACCTTTTTTAAGTGTGTTTCCTTGGCCTAGTGAATTTGTTGGGTTTTTTTTCCCAAGGATTATAGAAAGTGCATAGCAGATTCAGGCTTCAGAATACCCAGGAGCTGAAGACTCAAGTAGACTGCAGCTGTCTTCAACCACAGTATTCTAAAAGAACTAATGAGATGAGAAGCCTGCAGCTGGTGGCAAGCACAATAAACCATGAGCCAGGGGCTTCTCTTCATCAGAGCCTCCCTTTCCCCCTGGGATCCCAGAGGAGACAGAATACTAACAAAGCCAGCAGGCTGTCTCATTCCACACTATTGCTCATTTGCAGCTGTAATTGGTAGCTGAGGTTGCATTCTGTATGCTGAAACTGTCATACATGAAGGAATATATTTGTTCGTTGTGATATGGATATAAATCGACCAGTTTCCAAATCCAGAGACCAAATCAGATACCCAACAATAAAACTCAACAAGAAGATACTATTCAAAAAAGAAATTAATGTTTATTGTAGAAATCTAAAATTGGGCTTGTGAAGACTACATCCGATTCCTGCCTTTTTATATCATGCTCCTTAATCCAACTGATTAAACATTTACGAATTCAAACCAGCAGTGTCTAGATTTTGACGAGGTGCATTATTCTCACCTGTCAGGGTTAAGGTGTCATTGTTAATAATTGGGTTATGTTACATTTTCAGTATAATATCTGTAATGTTTGCTGCTTTGTACTCGAGAGAAAAACAAAGAAGAGAAGATTTCTATGTAGCCACCTCAGGAAGAAACACTAGGATACCCCTGGTGCTGGGGCCGGCTTCTTGGGTTTTTACATGTTTACTTTCTGAGGTTGCTGACACCTATGGCTGCCCTGTGGTACAGTTATGTAAGCCAGGGCAGAGATCAAAGAGTTCAGGACTGGAGAGATGGCTCAATCTTCCAGAAGACCAGGGTTCAATTCCTATCACCCACATAGTGGTTCACAATCTTCTGTAGTTCCAGTTTCAGGGGATCCAGTGCCACCTTCTAGCCTCTGAGGGCAATGTATGCGCGTGGGGTACATAGATACACATAAAATGAACAGAGAGTCTGTTTGAAGTCCGGGTATTGGGAGCTAGCTGTGTCAGTTCCTCACTGGATGGTAAGCTTCGTGATGCATTTTAGAAAAGCAGCCATGGCTGCCTTGCATTGATGAAGGCTTGCAGGTGTGCCTTCTGAAGTGGTGTCAGATCTAGAGTGAGGCTTTCACAAGGTTTTCAGTGTCTAGTTTCTGTATCTACTGTAGATGGGTTCTGTAGATGCGTGACATGTCTGCCTCGCATGGAGCTAGGGTAGAAGACAGTGGGGTATCTCTATTCTCTAGTTGATGCCCTTGCTGGTCAGAATTTAAACCAAGTTCCTCCTTCTTCATAAATTGCTTGGCCCTAATGTATGGACTGCCTTTATTTAATGCCATTGGTTTTATTGTGTACACTTCATTGTGTGTTTACTTATTCTTCCCATGGGTGTGGGCAGGTTTAAAGTTCTGCAGCACCTCCGCAGTTTTCCATACTCAAAATCTTGTTCCCCTCTTTTCTTTCACAGTTTAATGCATCCAAAATCAGGTTTTGTCTCCCTGCTATGACATGTATTAGCTTTCCATGTCTTTATTATTAATGGCACATAAAACAATAGTACAACCTATAGCTGTCAGCTACATACATGTAGAAATGTAGCGTTTACTATTCAATTCCCTTACAGTTTAGGTTTTGTAAAAAGAAAAGAAAAACATGGCTGGTATGGTCATGGCCATATCACACCCTAGTCCATAAGAAAAAAGGGGTATGGGTTCTCACAGATCAGTCATGGCCAGCCTGCTGGGCATTAGACTGACAATTAGAAATTAATTGTTGAAATATTTTAAACATGGTGTGCCTTTTTTTCTACTTTTGTTTTTGTTTTGTGAGACAGGGTTTCTGTCTTAACACTCATTCTGTAGACCAGACTGGCCTCGAACTCACAAAGAGCTGCCTGCCTCTGCCACTCCTCCCTGGCTTCTTTCTACTTCAATATGAAGGCCACTTGTCTCTTGGAAGGGGGTGTGTTCTTGACTGGTTTTGTTCAGTTTCAATTTTGACTGAATGTTCTCTCTTGGTGGTTAGTACACACTTCTTGAAGTTTGGGTACCTGTTTTGCTTTATTTTGTCTTGTATGCCTCTTTCAACTAGGCTGACATTAGGGACTAGCCCTGTGTTCTGGCCCTTATCATCCCGTGGTAGCTGTTACAGGGACTTTGATGGAGGGAAATGGTGCTGGAAGTGTTTGTTTGATGGAACGACGATTTTTAGTTTGGGAGGGGGTGGGCTTTAATTCGAGCCTCTGCTTTAGAAGAGAATGGTTTGGAGGCTTACAGGTATGTTTTTGTTCAGGTAGCTTCTGCTTGTGAGTGTAAGTTTTGGGATCACTTGTTCAGTTGCTTCTTTCCTGGATCTGAGGAAGCATGCCAGTTTTTTATGATGCAGGTGTGAACTAGAGTCTGCGAATTTATCCCAGCTGGCAGAGATCGAAGTCACTGCTGTTGTGACCAAACAGGTGGAGTGATTCTGGTTCTGGTTGTCCTGCCCCTGGGGAGCAGCTCATCCCTGTGTCCTTTCTTTCAAATGCTGACTGGCCTCATGTCCTGGGCATACCACATTAACTATTTCAAATCATTGAGACCTAGTGAAGCCAGCAGGTTCACATGTTTAATAATTTCAGCCCTTTCTGTAGCTCCTGAGACAGTGCTGAGATGGCCTTCCAGTCGAGTCCAGGGTCACATGTTTACCCCAGCATGCTTCTTTTTTTTTTTTTTTTTTCTTTTTCTTTTTCTTTTTTTGAGACAAGGGTTTCTCTGTAATGCTTTAGAGGTTGTCCTGTAGACCTGGCTGGCCTTGAACTCACAAAGATCGCCTGCCTCTGCCTCCCCAGTGCTGGGACTAAAGGTGTGAGCCACCAACGCCCAGCATTTCCCAGCATGCTTCTTAAAGGTTTAGTTTTTCCCTAATCCTCACTCCTTTTCTTTTATAACCCTCCCTAGGAATTATTAGCACGCCATATGCCTTTACTAACTGGTCACTTCTAAATGACCATTGCCAGTGTGTCTTCTTCACTTTGGGGAAGTTTGTGTTGTATTGTGGAGCATGCTCCTTGCATGCTTTGCTTGACAGGCTCTTACCTAAGAATTGCAGTTTTCAGCCAGGGTTTCCCCTCAGCCTTGTCTGGGCCCTCTCTGCAGTGTTTGTGCCCTTCACAAATGCTATGTAGACCTTGGGCCCCAGGAGCCATCCTGGAAGAGGCACAGTCTCCAGGCTTTAGACTGACCCCTGGGCTTATGTCTTGACAGTTAGTGAAGTTCCCGCCATTTGTTCATACTCTAAACATAAATTTACTTCTATGGAGGAGATGAAGAGAGGAGGGGAGAGGGACAGGCACTTTAGACAAGTGATTTAATTCATTTCCTACAATTTGTCAGGCCAGATGCACTGAAAGAAATAGCTATGTGTGTGAGTTGTAGATTTGGGGGTCACCTGTGCTCACACACGCTGTCTCTGCCTCTCATGACAGTGAGGGACTTAGAGGACACAGATCCAACAGGGAAAGAGGGAAGCGCAGCAACGGGGCCTGTGGTCTGCTCTAGTGTAGTAGTGACTCACAGTGTCAGAAGCAGCCTACGGTCATTTACCATGTGCAGGTGTTGTCGACCGTGAGGTGAGCAGGCTTTAGTTCTTAAGCGTGTCAGCCCGAAAACCATTAAACGCTTCAGCATAGCATCTAGCCTTGGTGGGCTGCTGTCACTCAACACTCCTAATTACATAGTTGAGATAAAAGTTTAAAAAGTAATGGGATGCAAACTGCAGGTGCTGTGTGTGGACCATTTCCCCTGTGTAAAAACACAGGGGGTTGTAGCTGCAGAAAGCTGCCTGGCAAGGTTAAACAACAGTTTCTGGTTTTCTTCTTCATCTCTGACTCTATTTTGCTTTACAGGACTACAAACCTGATGAAGACCCTGCGTTATTCCATTCAGTCAAGACCAAGAGAGGCCCCCTGGGACCTAACTGGAAGGTATTGGCTGCCAAACATGCTGACAAGTGGCATCTTGGCAACATAACACTTGACAGGTCCTGAGTCTTAAAGAAGTGGTAGTGTTTAAATGAAAAATAAAAACTGCACAGAGGGTTTTATTTTCGATAAGAATTTAGGGCCATTTGTAGTTGGCCTGTGAGTGTGTGTTGCATTAACAAACAGAACAGAGCCATGCTGTGCTGAGGCACCTGAAGAGAAGCAAATGGTTTGCTCTTGGGGGACTGCAACATCTCCTGGCTCCAGACAATACAGAAATCAGTGTGAAATGAAGGTTTGTAGTGGGGTCTAGTTGGCATCAACTCTAAACAAGTTCCCTCCACTCAGGTATTTCCCTGACCTTTTTGATAGCTATGTTTCTGGAGAGCAGGACACCAGAGCAAGTACTTGTAGTCAGGTAGAGCACACCTTCACTCCACGAAGTGGGAAAAGTAGTTCCAACATGGTGGTGTTGTGTAGTGCTCTACACCAAATGGAATCCCTTAAACAAGGCTTACAGGTTATTCTGATTAGTTTGACAGACTGGGAGGCACATAGAAACCCAAACCTGACCCGAGCAGGTTTTTCACCCTCAAGGTTTTCTTGGCAGCCAAGCTCTAACAGGCTAGTTACAACTTGAGGGAACAGTGCAGTGCTAGCTGCTGCTGTGGATGATCCCTGCACAGCACTGTTAGAACTGCTGTTGGAGCTGTATTGTAAACTGTTGCACATCAGTCAGCTAAAAGGAAGGAGGGATCTGACTTTGTTTCATGTGAAATGAGTCATTGCCGGTTGTGGTTAATCCCAGACCTCAGACAAAGGCAGGCAGACCTCTTGTGAGTACAAGGCCAGCCTGGTCTATGTAGAGTTCTAGGACAGCCAGGGCTACACAGTGAGACCCTATCTTAGCAAGGAAATAAAGAATCATACTTTGTCTTATTTCCACATTCGTTTCCAGGGTAGAGTTCAAACTCTTCCAACCATATATTAATACGACTAGAGACTTAATGCTCAGGAAGTGGTAAATGTCCCACGAGCATCATCTGAGTCCACTCAGAGTTTGCTCTGTGTCCCCACCCTTTCCAGGTTTGTAGCCACATTCTCTAGATACCCCTAGGTCAGGCAGGTGGCTCTCCAAAGTGTGTCCCTGCCGATGTAGCTCTGCCATCTCTGGTGTTGACTCTGGCTAGCATTGCTTTTACAGGGGATGAAGAGCTACAAGGTTTGTGACAAAACCCTGAGTTCTTTTGCCCAGTCACCAGTGTTGGAATATAGATTTTACACACCTGTTAATGGTGGGCCTGTTTTGCTTGAGTGCAGAGCTTTCCCCGTAGGAACTCCTGTGAGGTTTTCCAACCAGCCCTAGAAATACTTTTTTTTTTGGGGGGGCTTGGTTTTTCTGCTTCTTAGGAAGTTAGAATGTTTGTAGCTTGTTCTGGCTTTGTTAGTGACGTGTAATAGTCCTTTACCTCTGGTTGATGATAGTTTAAAATTTTTGAGTAGCAGGGTTTCATGGTGGGGCCCATGCTACCCCTGTATGCTTAGTGATTCCCCTTCTCAGCCTCATAATGCTAAGATGACAGGCATGAGCTGTAATGGGCTGTGCCTTGCAAAGCAAGTCCCCACAGTGACTTCTTATTGCCCATGCAGAAAGCTCCTCCAATCCACTTGTGTGTTGATCACCTGCTCACTTTATCCACATGGTGGTAGATGTGGGTACTCTTAAAAAGCAAGCATCGGGCTGGAGAGATAACTCAGAGGTTAAGAGCACCGACTGCTCTTCCAGAGGTCCTGAGTTCAATTCCCAGCAACCTCATGGTCGCTCACAACCATCTATAATTAGATCTTGTGCCCTCTTCTGGTATGCAGATATATATGGAAGCAGAATGTTGTATACATAATAAATAAATAAAATCTTAAAAAAAAAAAAAAGAAAGCAGCTGCTAACTGAGCTGTCATGACCTTGGGAATAATGGGGTATTGAAGAAAAGAAGCCAAACCCATTTACTGGTTGCAAGGACAAAGATTACATTCATGACAGTAGCTGAGCACACATGGACCTGATCAGCAGGCATGTGTCCTTACTCTGCCTGGTGGTGTTGGTGGCAGGCTGAGGACAGAAGAAATGTGTGGGGGCATGACAAGACAACTGTTGTGGCACTGCCAGCGGTGCTGCGGGTATGACCCATACATACTCTGTGATGTACTGTGTAGGCCGAGAAGTAGCCTGTCTATGAGATGTCCTAGCATTATCACCTGCTGCTTCAGCAGCCTGTTGTTTACCAGTCCACATTCCAAAAATGTGTTCAAGGCTAAGTAAAACTTAGAATCCTTTCATTTGCTTGTGTGTCTTTAGTTGTGCAGGGGATCAGACCTAGGACCTGACATATGTTAGGCAGGTGCTTTGTCACTGAGTTACACCACAGTGAGTGCTTTCCCACTTCTTTACTTGATATGGGGATGCTGCCTGCTGTGTGTACTGGCTGTATTCAACTGAGAGGGAAAGGTCCCTATGGTCTTAGGTGCTATAAAGGGTCACATTTCACCTTCCAAACTTCACTGTGGAGCAGGTACAAGTGCTTTGTGTGTGAGTGAGAAATGTGGCCAGAGAAACCCAGATAAGAGTTGTAGGAGAGACTGTGGCGCGGGAAAGTTGACAGGCCTGAGTCCAGTGCTGCCCACAGGTGTAAGGTGTGATGGGGCAGGTCCTCGCTCATTCGTCTGCCTTATTGCATGGTAACAGTTGAACCTCTGTGCTTATAGTTCTGCACAGTGGTCAGGACATCTCTAGTGATAGAGGCACAAAAGGAGACCCGAGCCAATACTGTGAAGGTTCATGCATCAGGATTTAGATAATGGAAGCTCTGAGCCTCAGTTTCCATACCTCTAAAATGGGATTGTTAATACCAACCTCAAAAGTCATTGGGAAGATTGAATGACATGAGTAAGTGCTGGGCACAGAAAGTCGTGTCAGAAGGACAAGTTCTTGGGGTGTGGGTATTGCACTGTTTTACATCATAGAGTTCTAGTCCCAAGCAGCCCTGCACACTAATAGCTAGGATTCATTTGTCTTGGGTCACCAGCCTGTGCCCCTTGTCCTTACAGTGTTGAGTGAGTGCTTGGTGTAGGTCAGCTATCAGAGCCACAGAGATCAGAGGACCTTCCCCAGCCCGGTGGTGTTGCTGCTCATATCCCAAGCTTGTTTTGGGCACAGGCTGTTATTTTTTTTCTGTTATGGTAGGACACATATTTTTACTCAAAAACAAACAAAACCAGGATAGCCCTAGAGACACAAGCCTTAGTTGTGTGCTCAATTTCCCTCTGAAGAAGGAAATAAAAGATCTGAGCACATGAATTATACTTTGTTACTTAGAGTTCAACATGAAGTGACTTTGTGCATGCTAATAGAGCAATTTATAACCTGATTAAGAATTTTGCTCCAAGGCAGAATTGCTGACGAACATCTTATTTCTCTGTGGCACAGTGTGTGTGCACACACATGCATATGTATGTGTAGATGTCTGTTTCTATCTGGAGGGAGTGTGTGTATATCTGTGGTACCAGTGCAGCCGCTTCTCTTAAGGCTTCCAATAGTCTTTTGCATGTGTGTTCCTCCTAGCTTTCCAGTTTGCCACTTCTGTGGTGTCCTACTAGCCCAACGAAAGGCCTTGAGTCTTTCTTCATTTAAGCCAGGCACTCTTGAAGAATTAAGCTTCTGTATCTACAAATGGTTGATAGTTAGTAGCTAGGAGGCTCTGCCAGACTACCTGCCTCTGCAGCGTCATACGTCGGAACACGTGGTGATTGGTTCAGGTAAAGGAGTTGGCCTAGAAATGACAGTGATTTGGCATGTGTGCAAGTATGTTCTTCCAAGTGCTGGCAGTTGAAACTTGACCTTTCAGACTCCTGCTATGGACACTGCTCAGTCACACTCTAGAATAACCCTCATGGCATTCTGAGCCCTCTAGGCTAGAGAAGGACACTACAAGTTGTAGAGACACCAGTTTGTTTCCTCCCTGTCCTCGTGATTGCTTGCTTTTTCTACCCAATTTGTGTGAAAAGATGATAGCAGCCTTGTCAGATGAAATGTAAGATTTTGTGCCAGGGATGGGAACAGCGGACCTAGAGTACAGCCCTGGAAGTCTCGTTCCAGGTGAAGACTAGTAAGAAAAGTACCTAGAGCTTCCTCCTGTGGCTCGTGACCAGGTCCTTTCATGGATCTGCCTGCCATGCTCTCAGATCCTGGGGCCCCCAGCAGCCAAAAGAATGCTTCCTCCCGTAGTCTCCTGTTTGAAACCCCATAACTGGAACGTGCAGAACTCAAACTGGTATCTGGTTAGGCCACATTTTCGGTTCTGTACAATAAAGAGGTCGACAGACACAGCAGGTTTTCAGAGGAGATTACACAGTTTGGTGACTTGGCTTTTAGCTTGAAGTTTTTAAAAATGCATTTAGCACTTGGTATGTATGTATTGTGCTTGCAGAACTTCTCCCAAATGAGCAAGCCCATGTTTTAAAAAATCTGGGTGCCCTGGGCTTCCTGTTAGCCTTCACCTTGGTTTGGCTGTGGAATGTCTCTGCTTCTAGGCAGAGCTGCAGGATTCAGGCCTCTGGAATGTATGCTGCCTGGTTTGTGAAGTGACTTGGCAGAGCAGGCCTTTGGCCAGGCTCTTCTTGAGTCCAGTGGAGTGGGACCATGTAGCTGTATTTGTACATGGCAACTTCCATCCTAATGAGGAAGGGTGTGAACTGCGCCAAGTTGTTATAAGGGAGCATGGGCTCTTCACACGCAGGGGCCTTCCTGTTTGAGTTTATTTTCCATATTTTTATGAAACCACCTATGATTAGTTCATCCCTTGGGACTCTTTTTGACTTAGGAGTCTCCCACCATGAACCCCCACCCCGATGGAGGCATGTGATGCAGTTGGTGCTTCAGGTCAAAGTGGCCTCTTTGTTCCACTTCCTGTTTTGTGTGAAGCCACCATGGTGTGTGGCATATGGCAGTGCCTGGAGTAGATGTGCCCTGGGTGGGTGCTTAGTGCAGGCTCAGTTAACTGCCATAAACCAATGAAAATCAGTGAGGTGGAGGCCTGACCTGTAGAAAAAGTGTCCAGCCCAGGCCCATCTAGAAGACTCAGAGCAAAAGCTGTCGAGGGAAGAGAAGATGGTACACAAAGTTAGAAAATGGGGTTTTGCCTGAGATGGTAATGCACATGCTTGGCATGTGTCTTGTGATCCTGTGTTGACGTTTGCTGGTGCACACACTGGCAGCCCTTACGACACGTTTATTTTTAACTTTCTCAGTGAGATTTCAGTTGGAAACTGAAAACTGCGTGCAAATTCGGCCGCCAAAACCGAGCGTTCCGATTGCCTACTGCCACAAAACTGAAATGTTGCGGGAGTGTGAGTCGCACAGAAGATTGCTCTGCTCCTGCTGCAGAGCTTGACTCCTCGAATGCAGCACACCCCAACCCACCCTTATCCTGCAGGTCGAGCCATGAAGCTAGTGAGGCTGAGAGGGGCTGAGAGGACCAGGTCAGAAGAATGCCCTCAGACGTCTTTCTTTCCATTCTCCCACGTTTGTGGTGTATATTTGTTTGTCATGGGTTCAAGAATGTTCTTGGGGCTGATGTTGGCTGATTGCTCACCACGCAGCTCCACATGCTGCAAGTCATTCAGTCACGATGTGTGGTTGCTGTGCCTATTGCTTCCCTGAAGGTCTCCACCACATGCCTCAGAGTAACCTAATACGTGCTCTTAAATTGAAAACATGATTTGACTTGGGAAGCTTCATTTATAGTTAGTAACATGAAATGTAAGGAATTCTGCGACTATACAAACTATTTAAATGCAATTTTGAAAACATTTTGCAGCTAACTAGTGCATGCTACATTATGGATGAAATTTAAATTAGGTGGGGAAAAACATAATGTGGGGTTCTTTTGTTAGCTGGGGACTCTCATCTTACACAACTTCTGGTTGCTCTTTCGTTAGCCAACCAGTGTTCCCCTTCTTTTAAAAAATTGCCATTTTAAATTTTACTCTACATAGAATTCACTTACTAGCAGAATAACGGTATTGTGAAGTAGCAGAATCAGCCTTAGCTACCTTGATACAGGTAATGAAATCTTCAGTTTTGGCTGGATTGGAGCAGTGTGTGAAAGACCATCAAGAGTCAGTTGTTTTTAAAGCAATAAAGAGGAAAAAATTCTGTCTGTCACTTTTGTATTGTTTACAAAGAACCAGGAAGCTGTGGCCCACAGCAGTTGAGCTCCCAGGGACCCGATACAAGCTAGAACTTCTGTCACAGTGGGAATTTTCACAGTTTTGAAAATTATGTCTTTATTTTTTTTTTTTTTTAAATAGGGACTGAAGAGATGACTTACAGGTTAAGAGCACTAATTTTTGTAGAGGACCTGGGTTTGGTTCCCAGTACCTATATGTTGGCTCACTACCAGTTCCCCAGTTCCAGGGGATCTGATGCCCTCTGTTCTGAGTAAATTAGCACATTTGTATTTGCTTCTCTAATAACAAGGTTAATAGCTTTTCATCTCACTATATCAGAGTGTACCCCAGAACAATGGTATGGAGATGTTTAAAGCCCTGTTTGTTTGTTTGTTTGTTTGTTTGTTTGTTTGACACAAGGTTTCTCTGTAACCTAAGCTGTCTGTAGACCAGGCTGGCCTCAAACTCAAGAGATCCACCTGCCCCTACCTCCTGAATTCTAGGACAAAAGGCGGGTGCTACCACCTCCTGTAAAGCCCTATCTTGATCACCAGTTTAAAGCCTGGGTTAAGGGATGACTCCCTATCAGTCGCTTAAACAGGAATGACACCCAAAATACCACGAATATATTAATTAATAAAGGAAAACATGTAGCTTATATATTGTCCTTATTGTTTTCCGGTGACTTCATAAGTCAGGAAGTCAAGGCAGTGGGCCTTTGTCTGCTTGAGCAACTTTTAGTGAGGTTGCATGTTCTTCCCTATTTTAGGGTAGGGTTGTGTTGCATTTAGCTCACTCTTCTAAATAGAACTGGGTTTCCCTTTGCTTTTATAAATTGTGGGGGAATTCTGAAGGGTTGTTGTTGTAATGGTTGAGGTTTGGTTGAGATTAAGGTGTGCTGCTTAAATTCTAAAGATGCAGTTTGTAGCTTGAAGTTACCAGGACTTGTCCAAGCTGAAAAGTGCTTAGAACTGTCAGTGTTGTGGGACTAGGGTGCTGGGCTATAGAATAATTTACCCTGGGTGTGTAGACAAGGGCATGTGTAGGTACTGGGGCCTCCCAAGCCCATGGATGTAAACCCGTGCTCTTGACCTGGTGCCAGCTAGACCTGCCTGACACTCGATCCACACTCTTTTCACCTGCAGTAGCCCTCATGGGTCAAAGTCCCCAGCATGGGTTCATTGTTTAGTGAAGAGATGGTCTATGGAAAACTCACCTTACCATCTTCTATAGAACTTCAGAGGCAGGGTGGCCAGCTTAGAGCCAGGCTTGCAGTCGAGGAGAGGGAGGCCCATGTCAGTTACCTGACCTGGTAGAAAAGAAGATATTCTGGAGCCACCTGTATCTGTGTTAGTCTGACTTCAGGTCATTGAAACAGTGGGCTCAGCAGTGAGGATCTCCCCAGGACTCTCATGCTAAGAGAAGGAAAAAGTGCCTGTTTAACGGGAGCTTGTCTCTCAGAAAGAGATCCCATACCATTCTAACAGCTTGTCCCCACCTTACAGGATGAGACTGAAGACCAGATGATGACAGGTCAATGGTGGGTGGAACTGCGCCTTGATGGTTCTTATGTACTTGGGCCCTCTATTTACACTTCCATTTCATTTTAGGACCCCAAAGATGAACTTGAAGGGTTTGCTGCATATTGTTGTCCCTCTTCCCCATGTGACCACATTGAGAAGCCCTCCTTTTTCTGCTTCCTGTTATTAAATTGGCTCCTTTTTATTGGCTTATGGAACACAGGCAGCCAGACCTGGCTTGACATACTGTGACCCCGTGTCTGATAACATCACTGTGTGCTACAGAGTCTTTGATAGATGAACAGTTCCCACCAAGGACAGCAATGTTGTTTTGTCATTGAAAATGCACATATGTGCGGAGCAGTGGTGGTGGACACCTTTAATTCCAGTGGGGGAGGGGGGCAGAGGCTGGTATCTCTGAGTTCGGGCCAGTTTGGTCTACAGAGTGAGTTCTGGGACAGCCAGAACTGTTACACAGAGAAGCCCTGTCTCGGGAAAACAAAACAACACATATGTGAGGGATGGAGGGGAGGCCTCAGCTGTAAGAGCATTGACTGCTCTTCCAGAGGTCCTGAGCCTAATTCCCAGCAACCACATGGTGGCTCATAGCCACCTATAATGGGATCTGATGCCCTCTTCTGGATTAAAGGTGGATATGCAGGTAGAACATTGTATACATAAAAGAAAGAAAATACAAACATTTTCCAAGTCAGTTTTGTGTGTGTTTGACCTGACATCACCTAACACAGGGTGATGTGTAAATGGTCCCCATGTAATAATTGCTGAAGTCAGCTTTCAAAGTGAGGTGTACAGTGTATTCTCTCTCTCTCTCTCTCTCTCTCTCTCTCTCTCTCTCTCTCTCTCCTCTCTCTCTCCTCTCTCTCTCTCACACACACACACAGACAGAGAGAGGGGAGAGGTTAGCCCCTCCCCAGGGCAATGTATAGTTAAAGCAGAGTTGCACACAGTAGGTGTTAGATAACTAGCAGCTAGATACCCAGGTAAATGACATCATCACCCTCCTCAAGCCTCTGTGTATGTGTGTATGTGGGGGCGGGGGGTGGTAAGGAGTGTGTGTCAAGAAGCCCAGCTAAGGTAATTCTTTTCAAGAGGGGCACAGCCGAACTCCCCAAGGTAGCAGTAACATGGCTCAGAGGACAGTTGCTCGCAGCATCCCCATTTACCTAAGCAAGACTTATTTTCCATCTCCATCATTTGAGTACCAGAGTGTGGATCTCAGTGGAATTGAAGCTGCATGCAGAGGCCATGGCTGTTAGTAGCATGCATTTGCATTGTTGGCTATGGCCTTCTGCCCTCACGAACAGTACTGTTCCACCAGGAAGTACTTGAAAATACAGAAAATGGTGAAACTCCACAGTGGAGTTAGGAGAACTTAAACTTGTTTAAGGCTCACTATTGATAAGAGCTTCACCATACATAAGAACTCCAACGAAGCCAGGAAGTGGTTGCACACGCCTTTGATCCCAGGAGAGCCAGGCAGATCTCTGTGAGTTCCAGGCTAACCTGATCTACAAAGTGAGAGTGTCAAGACAGCTGGTGCTACACAGAGAAACCAAAAACCACAATGACACCAGCTAACAAACTCATCTATGAGACCACATAGCTGGGAAGCAACTTGGTATGGGGCAGGAGAGGAATACTGCTCTTTCATTGAAATGACTCCAAATTTGTGAATTAAACACGAGAGACTGGTTTTTCTTGTGTCTGTGATGTTTTATATAGCAGTCAGTTTCGATCAGTGCCTAAACAGTGAAGTGACAGTTTCTCTTATTTTCTCACCCAGAAGGAGCTGGCAAGCGCCCCTGACTGTCCTAAGATGTGTGCCTATAAGCTGGTGACCATCAAGTTCAAGTGGTGGGGGCTGCAGAGCAAAGTGGAGAACTTCATCCAGAAGGTAAGTTCACTCACATTGTGGGGCTCTCTTGTGAGAGATTGGAGAAAAGGCAGCCGTCGGGAAATGGTCTCGGTGACAAGCATTTTCTCCTATGTGACATGAAAGTTACTATCCCCATGTGTCTGTCTGATCCCCTGAAGACATAAAATCTAAAAGAGGGCATCAGATAGATACCCTGGAACTGTAGTTACAGACAGTTGCTGGAAACCAAACCCTGATCCTCTGGAAGAGCTGCCATCTCAGCAGCCCTTAAGGACTTTTTAGGAGAAATGTAGCCTTTATTTATTTATTTATTCAGTGTACTTTCCTGAGTTTTCACAGATGGTTTTTCTAGCACTTGAGTACAAAGCCCTCCCATGGCTAGCGTGACTGTGAAGAGATCTGGTATCCTGGCCACTTCTCTGGCACTCATGTTGTCTTGTCTAGAAGTGTCTTCTATAGACGTCTTGCCAAGCAGTAGATAGACCCTGAATTGGTGACATGGTCTGAGGATGAAGAAAACTTAAGCAGTTAGATGCAGATGGGGGTTCACAGTGGTATATTTACATTTATGCGTAGTGTTGCCTAACACCACACAGAACAACAAAATGCACCAGGTTATAAATACACAGGAAGATGTGGGAATACCCTATGTTTACTCTTCTTCCCCCTCCCACTCCCCCATCATCATTATAAAGATGTCTTTCGGGGCTGGAGAGACAACTTAGTGGCTAAAGAGCACTGGCTGTTTTTCTAGAAGCCCCGGGTTTGATTCCCAGCACCCACATGGTGGTCTGCAACCATCTGTAACACCAGTTACAGGAGATCCACACCACTTTATGGCCTCCAAGGGCACTGCAAGCCTCAGGTGCACGGGCATGCATGCATCCACATAAAAAGAAATACTGGGGAATAAAGAAGACATCCTGCTACCCCCTGGATTATCATAGTGGTTCTTGTGCCTATTCTCAGCCAGCCCTAGAGCACACTCTGTACCTGCTAGCCTTGTCCCCCTGGACATTGTAGTAATAGGTTGACAATCCAGTTTAGATAATCAGAAGTCGATCCCATGTGTAAACATGAAGTTTGCTGGTGGGAAAGTTGAAAATTGTTCCCAAAGTGTTGGTTGTTGTATGTACTTTGCTCTCTTTTTGGGAAAGTTGAGTACAACTTAAAATAGTTAGGTATTTAAAGCCTGTATTCTGTACATGGTTTTCATATCTATGTTTGTGTATGTGCATACACATGGGCAGTAGTATAGAGCACAAAATAATTAATGCACAGGCCCTAGTGCTTTTCATCATTGTGTCTCTATGCACTGGGGGCTTTCCTTCAGTGCAGTGTGCCCAAGTGAAGACTGGGTCTAGTTTTATTATGGAAGGATTGAGTTGACCTTTGACCCTTGGGGCCCAGCAGGAACATATGGGAATCAGTTAAGTGTGCTATGCACTCTTGGCTTCTACTAGATCATTAATCCTTTTGCCAGTAGAGATTCTTTACCATTCCTAAGGAAACTTTGAAAATAAGTTTTGATTTATGTTTGTTTGGTGCTTCAAGTTTGTTGTGTGTGGTTGTGTGTGCCAACTACATGGATGTGGAGGACAGAGGACAGTTTGTAGGAGTTGGTTCTCTCCTTCCACCGTAGGAATCCAGATATTATGCAAGCACCATCACCTCCTGAGCCATCTTGTTGCCCCTCACAGGGAATTTATTTTCCTGCATAAAGTTATGCTAAGGTGGAATTAATGTTGATGTAAAGAACTTACGTATTTATTTATTTTGTGGCAGTCTCTCTACACAGCCCTGGCTATTCTGGAATTCATTATGTATACCAGGCTGGCCTTGAACTCTTGAGATCTGTCTTTGCCTCCTGAGTGCTAGGATTAAAAGCATGTGCCACTATATTTGGCCTAGTTTCTGGTAGTATATGAAATTGTCTTTTCAAACTAAGTGCATGTTCATTTTATGGGCTGCTTGAGACATGTAAAGTCAATGTGTCACTAATTGGATGTTTTTGCTTACTTTGTTTTAAAAGCAAGAAAAGCGGATATTTACAAACTTACATCGACAGCTCTTTTGTTGGATTGACAAGTGGATTGACCTGACAATGGAAGACATTAGGAGAATGGAAGATGAGACTCAGAAAGAACTAGAAACAGTAAGACTTTTTTTCTTTTCCTTTTTCTTTTCTTTTTTTTTTTTTTTTTTTTTTTTTTTTTTTTTTTTTTTGCAGTGGTTTGATTTCCCTTTCTAAACCTGTGCATGAGCAAGTGTGGACTTGGAGTTAGGGAGAGTGTTGCTCGAAGCTATTTCTCACCACATGTATTTTCATCATTCTTGGACACTAATGCCCTCCACCCTCCTAAAGGTGGACAAGAACTGTCTTAACCTAGAATGTGCTCCTTGTCAGAAAGCATCCCAGTCCTTTGTGCTGGGCTTGGGCATCCGTTGTCTGCCACAGTACCTGTTTTAGCTTGCTCAGCAGGCAGCTCAGCTTCCTCTGTAGACAAGGTGAGGCTGGTAAGAGAGACCTCCAGGTCCAGTGATGCCGCCTCCCCCCTCCCCCCTAGCAGTGAGCTCTTCTTCCTTGGAAAGACATTGGCAAGGGGTCAGGTAGCTTCATGACTAATCCTGCCCTAGCTCCTGCCCATAGCCAGTGGGTGTCTGCACTCTTCTAAGGCCATCTTCTTGGATTCCTCCCACAAGGATTTGGTTTTGATTTTTTTTTTTTTTTCTTGAGTCATGTTTTTCTGCATTCCCAAAGTGGGAAGTAAATCCAAGGCATGTCTAGGACCTTCATGGCTTCCACACAGTCATCCTGAGCCCTGCCAGAGGGCCTGGCTCTGCAAGCCCTGCAGGTGTGGTAGCTGATGGCCTATGTGAGGCTAGAGCCCCATGGAGTCATGGGGAGTGGCAGGAAGTCAGACTATCTTGTATTTAAAGTAAACTATAGACAGACATCACCTTATAAATGGATTTTGCTCCAGATTATCTTAGGTTGACTGAATTTGGAATGTCCTTTCCCGGAGAGACAACATTATAAGGGGGTTGGTTTTTCTCTTACTCAAGACTCTTGAGTTCTGGGTCTCTGGATGGGATGATGGGATGATGGAATCCTAGCAGAGCCCCTAGCCTGGAGGTGCCAACTCTTGCTCCCACCTGTGGCATTAGGCCAAAAGATCAGCAGCGGCTCTGCCAGCTGTTTAGAAGTAGCTCTGTAGCTGCTCAGGACTCAGACCAAATGAGGTCCCTGTGAACTTACTTGCTTCACTCGGTCCTAGGTTCATGTGTGAATACTTGAGAAGTGTTTTAGGCATCTCAGCATTCCATGCTGACCATCCATCCTCACATTAGCTGCTCCTTGTGAAGTCACAGGAGTACTTTATCCCAGTAGTGGTGTTAATGGTCCCATCAGTTGGGTTGTGCAAATCCTCAGAACTCCATCAGGCTTGTGGCTGGGAGCACCGGCCAAGAAGCTCCTTCCCCACAAAGATGCCTGCATTTCTGCAGGAATTTCTTGTCATGCCTGGTCAAGGACTCTCATACACTATAATGTTTTTTAATTCACAGACATTTTAGACTTGAGAATGCCTGGCACCTTAAGTTGGGAACAGAAAGTACACGTACATGCATGCACATGTGTGGCCTGCAGTTTGCAGAGCTGTAAGGATGAGCCAGGTGGTGGAAATGAACTGGCCAGACCCTAGGGTGGATTGGGAGAAGGGGTTGTTTTAGAAATGCAGTGTTTGTTGTCTGTCTGTTTCTGGTTTTCTCCTTTGAGGGTTTTGGTTTTGTTGTTGCTGTTTTTTTGTTTGTTTGTTTGTTTTTGTGTGTGTGTGTTTGTTTGTTTTGTCTGTAGCTGTTAGAAATGCTTACTTCTTTGCCAGTTGTTTTTGCCCTGTGCTGTTCCTCTGTGTGTCTCTTCCTCTGATTCTTGTTCTTTTCATTAAATCTAAAAACACTGAGAAACTGCTCTCAAAACAGCCGAGATAGCAGCAGCGTCACTGTTTCCTGTCTGGTCCAGGGACATAAAAGGTGGACAGACAGACACCCCCTACCCTCCCAAGCATTCTCTCAAAGCATATTGACACTTCCCTTGCAATTGCATCCCTGATAATTTGCTATCAGACTGGAGGCCTTTGTTTAGATGTGGATACAGGTAACTTTCCAGGCTGTTTAAGGAAAGCCCCTAGCAAGTTTATTAAAGCCAGGACCAGTAGAAGGCCTCAGAACTCCATCCCTTTTGGGGATACATGAGAAGCAGACAGTCTCTATATAATCATTGCTAGATCTTTTTTCTCCACTTGCTTACTAACCCCTACATATAATCATTTTAGCAGCTCATGATTTTATTTTACATTTAGATGCGTAAGAAGGGTTCCGTCCGAGGCACGTCGGCCGCCGATGCCTAGATGAGTCCCCTGTAGGTCAGAGACATTTTCAAACTGTGTAAGTGATGACCTGGGTAAAAAGATGTCTAAAACTTGCACCTTCTGGTGATGGGTAGTTAACTGCCGAGCCCGCCTCAGGCTCTGCCTGTGTTGATGGGATTCTACTTCTAGAATTGAAGAGGTGCCTGCTGTAGGAACTGTGAGCATGTATGTTTTATGGATCATTCTGTGGGCCAGGTTGAATGTCACAGTCTCCGTCCCACTGTCAGTGTAGTCGCACTTATTTAGTGGCACTGCCCTGGAAGCTGGTTGACATTTTGATAGCCAACCAGTTAGTGGAACTGTCTCTCGATAGAACCTTTTGTGGTTACCAAGGAAATCCAGATCCCTCCTGCCACATCATCAGGCCAATTTCAGTAGCTCACTGAAGATAAAATGTGTTCTCTGTGCCACAGTCTCCCTGTTTACTCTGTAGTTAACTTTGTAAGCCAAACATTTTTCTGTGGTGTTCGCTACCAAAACCTGTGTGCCCACATAGATGGGCAGAGAGCATCCAAATCTGCTCCACAGGCTTAGGCAAAGAATAAGAGCAGTAGAGCCTACTGCTTTGTGCCAGTGTCTGTGAGGACAGGAGTGGGGCCATGTGCCCAGCCCTCGCTGAGCCTCCCTGCTCCATTAACGGATATCTTTCCCACATCAACTGAGGGAGTGGTGCTAGGTCGTGAAAAGGAGCTGCTGTGCCCAACAAGATCTGAGTGACACTTCTGAGATTTCCCCAAAGCTCTCATTTCATGTTCATTCAAAACAAAACAAAAAAAAATTTTTTTTCAATTATTGTCACTTTAAGTACTAACTTTCTGTGATTTGTTCCTGCTTCGAATTTACTTTTCTCTGTGATAGAATAAAATGTTTTGCCTTTAGCATGGCCAGGCCAGTCTTTTTAAACAGAAATAGAGTTTTGGGGTATAGTAGTTTGGGGAGTATTTTCTGCCAATTTTTTCCCCATATTGAGTATCTCAGGACAGTCCGTGGCCTAACTTCCTGTGTGCTTCTTTACTTTCTTACAGCTACGGAGTCAAGGCCAAGTGAGGGGAACAAGTGCAGCAGGTGACGAGTGAAGATGCAGCCAGTGTCTCTCAGTGTTGATGTTTCCGGTGTGTGCCTGTGATGACTCAAATGTACATGTGCGTGCTCTCACACACACATACACACACACACAAACATACACACACACACACAAACACACACGCACACACCCTGTGTGTGTATGTGTGCACGTCTGTAGCTGTATGTAAAGCACATATGGCTACAGGCCTAGATACAAAAGTGTATATATGTACATGCAAAACATGGAAGGGATCAGTACAGTTTCTCCAAAGTGCTGTACCTATCTTCAGCAAAAATACTAAAGAATATTTTCCATATATATACCTGGAACAGATTTTAATAATCATCATTGTGATGCCCTTGGTGGATAAATGGACTGCCATGTGGTGCCATGTGGTGCCGGCTGGCGTGCTTCATGAATGCCAGGTGTGGACCAGTGTGTGTAGCCTTTGGTTATGTTTCTGCTTTTTTCAAGTCGCCCCACATTCACTTGTAATTCATCCCATCAGCAACAGACTCCTACAGAAAGATGTCTTCACATTCTTAGATACTACAGTGGATCTGGAAAGTAAACTCTGGATGTATTTATAACTATTTATTTCTGGGTGGCCACTATCTTCCAGCCAAATCCAACGATATCTGTCAAGTAAAGAGTAAAATTAAAGCTCTTTGCTAGTTTGCCCTAGGGGTGGGGAAATCCTTTTTTTAAAATTGCCACTTTTTATTGGATTTTTTGTATTTTGAATTTCAAGTATTTTTCTACATCAAATCTAGCAAAAAAACAGTGATGACGGTTTGTGATTTATAATAAACACTAGACAATATTCAGGCTCTGGTTAAGCAAACAAGGTGATAAAAGAAGTACACCCTCACGGTATTGTCGGTTGTGCAGAGGACTTCTGTGGAGTTTTGTTTCTGGAATTCCAGTGTGGAGACTATGCAGACCGTCTGTGTTGCTCTGAGCTTACAGGGTGGGAAAGTAGTGACATTTAGCTCTTTTCCTGCTGCAGTCCAAGCCAGGGGGAAATGCTGATGGTGAGCTAGGAACAGTTTGAATGTGGCACAGGGGCAGGCTATCCATCCTAAGACCCAGCTAGATCCTGACCATTGCTGCTGGCACTGCTTCCTCTTCTCCCACCTCTTCCTCTTTCTCCTCTTTTTTTTAAAGGAAGGAACAATAGCTAGGTAAGATTTTTTTTTTTTTTTTAATTAACTTTTCTGTCTGATGCTGTTTTCCCTTGTCAGTCCTGGAAGCCTAACCAGAATCATACTGTTGAAGCCTTCAGGTCACACACTGTCTTTTTAACCTCCACACACCCAAAACACATCACCACAGAGTCCTCCATTTCCCCCAGAACACATCACCTCATAGACCTCCACCCCCCCCACCCCCCGCAGAACATATCACACATGCATTCAGCCCATTAGTAACCCCTTTGCTGACAGTCTTGCCCTTCATGCTCCTCCTCCCATGGGAGCAATGACAGAGCTTCCCACTGTATTGCAACAATGCCCTGTCATCCTCAGCAACAAACCCTGAGTTCCATGTGTCCTCTCTAAACATAAATGGGCACTATTGGGAGATGGGTGTGGTCACATTAGTGGAGAAGTCACCAGAAGGGTCACCGCCAACCCCAGGCACAGGAGAGCCCAGTCTCTCCCTCAATGAAAGTAACTCACGGACATCTGTAGTCTCCATTGGGGGCTTGGGCACACAAGGAAATGTGAGCCTGATGTGGACTCTAATGTTTTTCTAACAACTGTGGAGATTGAGGGGATGTGTGGTGAATGTAAAATTACCCCGTTGACTTGGCAGTCTCTTGTGTAAATTACAGTAAAACAAAGTAAGTAAAATTGAAACAAAAATAAATTTGATCACAAAATGCCACCTGTGTGCTTGAATGGCTGTTTCCCTGGTGCTACTTTCTTGGAGCAGTGAGGAACACTTGGATGCTGGCTTTTCAAGAGTTCTGTAGGTTTCAGCAACCCCACTCTGAGAAAAAGACAAAAAGGTTCTTGATGTTTTGCTGGTCCTGTGAGGTGGCTTGTTTTTGACATGGGCCTGTGTTTTTAAAGTGCTCTGTCAGATTTTGCTGTGATGTCTGACTGTCTCAAGATCAAGGCTCCGAGATACTTCGTCCCTTAGAACTTGGTTATTTCCGCTGTGCTCTGCTTTTGAGACAAGACCTACTGCCTGTTCGGATTTAATGAGCAGCATGTTTCCAGGGTGTTTGAGGTTCCTTTCTCTCTTTGATTTTTCAAGAGAGGGTTTCTCTATGTATCCCTGGCTGTCCTGGAACTCATTTGTAGACCAGGCTGGCCTTGAACTCACAGAGATCTGCCTGCTTCTGCCTCCTGAGTGCTGGGGTTAAAGGTGTGCCCCACCACTGCCTGGCCGAGGTTCCTTTCTTGCTATTTCAGATAAAGCATTGGCATGCCTGGTGATCTGTCAACCTGAGTGTACACACAGGCACCTGATGCTCAGCATAGGTTCTGAGGCAAGTAAGTGCCGATGTGTAGTCCAATGTGGGAGACAGAGACAGGAACAGGTATAACACAAGATGGTGTGATACTCTTAAGGAGTAGTGTTGCAGAACAGATGTTACACACTCCTGGGCGAGCAAGAAATGAACAAAACTTGCAGACCCGGCAGCTGTGACTCCAGGAGCCCTGAGACGTCCCAGAGTCTTGCTCTCTGCTGTTGAGGGCACAGGTCCAGGCAGGTGGTCCTGCACCCTTTTCACAGATAGGAGCCCTCTTCCCTGTCTTTTTGTTTTGCTGTTCCACTCACTTTCCGTGCTGCCTCCCTGTGTGTCCAAGGCCACTCAGACCTCCTGTCCCCTCAACCTGATGGTGTTTGAAGTGTCCCAGCCCAACCCCGGCAGACGTGTCTCAGGAGGTAAGAGGCATTCAACGTCTGTCGTGAGAACACACTAGAGCCCCCCCAGCCATCCTCATGGAGAACATGCTTAACTTGCTGTTAGGTCAGTAGAGCCACCAGGAGTCAGGAGGTAATTCTCAGTGTCTGTGGAGTTGCAGGATTCTAGGGCTTGGATTGGTGTGGCTGGAAGGAAGGAGAGCAGCGGAAACCAAGTCCCTGTCCATCTTGTCTATGTGATACCTTGGGCAGACCCTCCCATACACTCCAGTCATGTTAACCTGGCATGAAAACAATATGCAGCTGCAGCTGACTTCACATCCCCTTGAGCAGGTTACATCGGGGAAGTGGGAAAGGTAGACGTTCCTGCACTCTGATGTTGCCATGGTGTAAGGTTTCACCCGAGAGGCATTCAGAACCAGCCGCCTCCTGACAAAATGAGCCTCCTGCACCTTGAAAGGCAGGCTCACCCAGAGGCTAAAGTTTCACACAAGGAGCCTTCGTGACTACCTGATGCATCAAAATCTTCTGAGTTCACATGTGACTGGATTAAGAATGTCTCCATTCCTGCCAAGGTCCTCTAACTGTCCAAAAGCCAGCCTGTGCATCTCCCGTGCTGTGAGTGAATGTATCATGCTAGGGGGATAGCCAGCCCATGCATCTCCCGTGTCCTGAGTGAATGTTTCATTATGCTGGAGGGACAGCCAGCCTGTGCAACTCCTGGGCTAGAGGTCAGCTTGACAGTAGCTGCACTCTAGAAAACAAATGAACACCTTTACAGATGCCACTTTCCCATCTGACATCTTTCTGTGGATTGGTCTTGGTGCACACCCTCTTCAAAAGCAGGAAAGGAGCCCAGAAAAACCCGTCCTCTCCCAGAAGTACCTGTCTTCTATCAGGTACTAGCTCCTGGAAACCCTTGGCCGGGTGCTGCTCCTTCAGGAAGCTGCATGTTGAGTGGCCTCTGCCACAGCTCAATTCCTGGTTGGCCATCACTATTGACTGATGGATGGCACCCTTAAATCTCATATTTCACTTTCCATGTTAGTGTGGGCTCTCCTCAGGGGCAGGTGTCATGCTGTACCTCAAAGTTAACTCTTGTAATAGAAATTTCGATCATGAATGTCATTTTTCCCCAAGTCGATGTCTGCCAGTCCAGTGACAAAGACACCTTAGTCTTGGAGTCTAGGAGAGGAGGAACGAGATCTAGTCTCTTCCCTCAAACCAACAACCTAAGGGCAGCAGCTCTGGCAACTGTCCAGGGAGCTCTGAGTCCACCCATTCTCCTTCCTCCCCATTTCCTGAAGCCAGAGGCTTCAGCATCTATTTCTGGAATGTCAGGGCATCACTAATGGCCACCCTAGGCAGGAAGAGTAGTTGGTCCCCCCAGCTCCGAGTTTTCCTGGATGCCAACGAGCCCCTGCTGCCCTTTGTCTCTCAGTTCAAGCCATGTTCTAACCACCCTCATCTTAGGGAGGATATCACAAACATCACATGAAAAGATAAGCTCACCGAATATGGTGGTGCACACCTTTAACCTAGCACCAAGGGGAGACAGGCAAGATTGCTTGCCAGTTCAAGACCAGCCTGAACTATACAGGGACTTCTGTACCAGCCAGATCTACACACTAAAACACTGCCTCCCCTCTTTTTAAGGGTTGTGAAGTATCTGAGGCTTTGACAGCTGTATGTGTCTGTGCTTGATACAGAAACAACCAAGGGGCCCCAAAAGCCTTCATGATAGGGCAGGTTTGACCAGTGGTCAGAAACAGGATCCTGTATGGATAGATAGTCTTGGGCTCTGCCGGAAGCATCTCTCTAGAACCCCTGTGATGGTACTGCGTTCCTGACCCCGTGAGGCCCAGAATGCCAATCGGCATCAGGTGCCTCATTCTGATGCTGACTAGAGGAACCAACGTCAGTCTGCTTCCCTAGCTAAGATACTCAGAGAAATGGAAGCATTTCATTTCCAGCCAGCTGCAAGGAGGTACTATGGTGAGTTCACAGAAGCATTGAAGACATGTGCAGTCCCTCTGCTGTGGTGTCCCCACCTTGTTAGCCTGGGCTTTGTGCCCTGCCTTCTGGTGGAGTCTGCTTCAGTTCCCAAGAAGCTGTGAGGGGCCTGACATGCTGCCGGTGTGTTGATCTTTTATTGTATGTTGATAGCAAAATAACCTTGCATTCTAGGCATGGAGAAGCACAACAGAGGAGTGGCTTACAGGGTAAAAACAGAAGCTTTGCCTCTGGGTGACCCATGGTAAGATGGCTCCCTGCATCCCTGAATGCTAATAGTATCATTTTAGCACCATTGTCACTCTCTAACCCACCCAGAGGTGCTGTACCCACTTCTCCTCCAAGGTGTGCTAGCCTCCACTCCTATGTGTCCCTCAGGAGAGGACCCGTGAAAGGCCCCAGGTCATCTATAGTCCACGGCGGCTGTTCATTTTAGAACTGAAGCTGGCTAGCTTTCTGTAAAGGACCAGGTGTTCATCGAGATTCTGGGACTATATAGTCTTGTGCCGCTGCCCTGTGCTGCCCCTGTAGCAGACGAGTACCCTTGAACATCACAGGGTGAGGGGTGTAGTTCCACACGGGCTGGGTGATGCCTTGCTAATAATTCTGTAAGGCATCCTTTGATTTGAAAAGCAATGCTGATCTCCCCCAGCACTGTAGTCCTCAAACCACCTTTGCAGCTAGCTTTATGGTCACCTCTGAGCAAGGGTCCCTCCTGCAAGTCACCTGCTTGTCCAGACCACAGTTCCCAGATGCAGAACTCCAAGCCTCAGAACAACAGCCTCAGTGCTCAGCCACATTTTGTTTCACTGTTGGTTTCTTTGGTCAGTTGTTTTGGTTTGGCTTTTCAAGGCAGAGTTTCTCTGTTTACATCCTCAGCTGGCCTCAAACTCACAGAGACCGACAGCCTGCCTCTGTGGGCCTCCAGCAGCTTGAGAGCATCCGCTCACAATGGCCTCTGAGACCGAGCCGAGCCTCCCCATGGTGGCACAGAAACACACAGGCATATTCTGTAAGTAGATGGGGCGGGGCAGGTATGGGAGGTATGCGCTAAATGCTGGAGCCCCTCACCCAGCATGGCCTCTGGCAGAGTGTGAGCAGCCAGGTCTATTCTAAGATTCCACACTTGGAGGCCTCAAGGGAAGGGGGTGGGGGGCAACATTCTGCCCTACTGAGGCCCCCTGACCAGGGGCACCTTGTCTCCTCCCACCCCAGCTGGCTTTGTGTTGGTGCTATGGAGTGTCCAGGAACCTGTTGTGTGTCCATTCTAAGTGCACTTGGCAGCGGTGTGGGAGGGTAGGGGGTGTCCTGGGGGTAGGGCTGGCCTGTGAACACCTGGAGGGAGCAACTTTACCAAGGCATGGTAGCCGAACCTGTAACACACAGGCCTGAAGGCTACCTCCCCACATGTCTGGCCAGTGTTGCCCCCTCTGGCTTGGGACAATGTCAGTCAGGCATCTAGTTGGCCATGAATTCAGTGCCCTGCTGTGGGGTCCAGAAATCTAATGGGATTTTAGGCTTCCTCTTAGCCCCTCTTGAGTAACTGTCTCAGCTTTTCCTCCTGTGAGACTGAGGCCAGGACCTGTGTACGTTAGTGCCGCCCATTGCTGGACTTCTCCACTGCCCTGAACTTCACACTACACTCTAGGCTTCACACACACACACACACACACACACACACACACACACACACACACCAAAGACTGTCATGATGCACATGGCAGGGTGCTGGGAGGTGGGGCTGTGCTGGGGTGAGCCGGTGACCCCATGCTTTGCTCAGTGGGATTACTGTTGCTTTCCCTGTCCTGTGTTAGTGAGCCCTGTGTGGTTGATACCATGGAGGAGTTGTGGAATGGACCTAGCTGCTCACACTGCAAGAGACCAAGCTGGGTCAGGGGCTTTGGCATTTAACACATGCATCCCATGCCTGCCCTTCTACTTAACTGAACAATAGGCCCAGACTGAAGCCTTGGCCCCTCTGAGCCTTGGTGTCCTGC